TGAGGACACAGAACAAGAGAAAGAGAAACACATTCTCTGTGGCTTAACTGGTATTAGTCACAAAAGTGGATAGATTTATGGGTCACTCTGCCAGTGCTGAAAGCCAGATCCCAGGTGAGCAAGGCTTCCATGTATCCTTTTTATTTTTAAGTTTACATACACCAAAATCCACTCTTCTTTGTTTTACTGACAGACGCATATGCTTGTGTAACCACCACCATGACCAAGATACAGAACAGTTGCAGCAGCCCCCAAAATTCTTACTAGCATTTGGTATTGTTGGTTTTTTCTTTGTTCGTTTTTAGCCATTCTAATAGATGTGTAGCAGTATCTCAATGTTGTGTGTATGTTTGTGATATGAAGGGACCTCTAAAAAAACAAGCTCAGGGAAGGGACACCTGTTTCCAGGGTCTACAGATGATATTGTCTAGGAGAGCCAAAAATTCCCCTCTTGGATTGGTGACTTATCTAGGAAAATGCCTTAGCGGGCTTTTTTGATGAGAAAGGGATGCCCCTAGGCTTAGCCTGCTTGGGAGGTCGAGATTTAGAGGGAGCTGACCTGCTCTGCAAATCCTAAGGGAGGAGGAATCTGGAGCCTCTTGAGGGACTCACATCTAGAGAGGAGGGTGAGAGACTAAGAATGGAGAAAAAGGAGAGCTGTGAGATACTACATACAGAGAGGAGCCTCCTGAACACGGCAGGGACAGGGGCAGAAGTCTCTGGAAGGAGAAATTCCCTGAGAATGGAGCCCAGCCAACAAATATCTAAGAATAGGGAGATTAGATATTGAATTTAGAGTTGTCTCCTGCTCTGTGCTGTGGTTCCCTCTGCCACACACAGCGGCATTGGGCGGGTGGTGCTTTGGAGGAAGAACAGAAGAGGGCAGTGTCAAGCCTGGGGTGAGGTTGAGGAGTGAGAGGCCAGAGGGTGCCAGCGAGGGTGGAGAAGGCTACAGACAATTGACTCAGGATAAAGGTGAGCCATCCTACCTATACCTCTCTCAGGGGGAAAACAGCCCTTCCAACTGTCAAGGAGAGCTCTGGGCTTCCTGCAGAATGTGGGCCTCAGTCTGTTTGCTTTGCTTTGCTTCTTTTTAATATGAAAGAAGAGAGAGACCTCTAGGAGAGCAGCTGTCAGATGCTACCCGTCTGCCACAAAGATGTGGCCTCAGCCCTCTGGGCTGTGTCTGGACTCTAGCTGGACTCAGTGTCCACATAAACTCAGGTGTCCACAGAGCACTAGAAGCCTCTGGATCCTTTGGACCCAGAAAAGTAATGTATTAGTCAAACCTCATGTATTAGTTTCCTATTGCTTCTGTAACAAATTACCTCAAACTTAGTGGCCTAAAACAACACATTTATTATCTTACAGTTCTGTGGGTCAGAAGTCTGACATGGGTCTCATTGGGCTAAAATCAAGATGTTGGCAGGACTGCATTCCTTCTGCAGGTTCTAGGGGAGAATGCATTTCCTTTCCCTTTCCAGTTTCTAGAGGCTGTTCTTTGGCTCGTGGCCACTTCCTCCACCTTGAAAGCTAGCAACAGGGAGTTGAGTCCTCCTCACATTGTATCACTCCAATCTCCTCTTCTGTCTCGCTCTTCCACTTTTAAGAATTTCTGTAATTACATTGGGCCTACTTGGATGATCCAAGATACCCACCCTCTCTTAAGGTCAGATGAGTAGCAACCTTAATTCCATCTGCAACCTTAATTCCCCTTTGCCGTGTAAAATAATATATTCACAGGTCCCAGGGATTAGGATGTGGACATCTTTGGGGGCCTAGGGGAGGATATATGCTGCCTACCACACTTGCCACTGGGGCCTAAGTGAGATTCTGATCCAGAGAGGTTGGGACAAAGAGCAGTGTCTACCTATCTCTGAAAATGGAGAAAGTAGAAGGTGACTCTGGGAAAAATGAGCTGCTAATAAAAATAACATGAGTCAGAGAAGCAGCGGCTGGTAAAGACCTATGTCAAACATTGTCATAGGTAAGTTCCTAAGAAGCTACATGAAAATAACAGCTGTTTCTACAGATCATACTTTACCTACACTAGTGCAGCTTGCTGTTGCACAGAATCCTAGGGGACTACCCTTGGAACTGGGAAGAGTTGGAGACATCTCTGGGTTACCTGGGTCACTCCCATCCCAGCAAGATGGTCTGTTTGCTGCATATGAGGTAGCTCTTATGGCATCTACCCATGGCCTGAGTTATGCCCTCAGAATTGTGCAGAGAGCTCTATTGTTTCTGTCACAGCTCAGCACTTCAGTTCCTAGAAGACAGACTAGGTGTCCCCTGCCACTACCACCACTCTTTTCTAATAAAATCTTCCCAGGGATTCTGACAGATCCTCATCATGAATGATGTGGTTTTCCACCCTTCCCCATCCTTGTCACCCTCTTTTGGGCATATTTAATGTGTGAAGGGTTGGAGGCTTGTGGGGAAGGGGGTCACCAGTCTTCTGGTCAACCACATTTAGAGTCTAATGGTGGTCATAATCCAGCAACCCACCAAATTCTTCTCTTGGCTTTATTTACTGGAACATCCTCTCTCTCTCTTATCTATCTATCTATCTTTCTATCATCTATCTATCTATCTATCTATCTATCTATCTATCTATCTAATCTCAGATGTCTTTAGATATTTGATGTTTGCCCCCCTGCTGAACCTACATGCTCAGATGCCCCTCTTGCCTCCTTAGCCCTTGACTTGGGCTAGGGTTGGGGCTGAGACCAGCCCCTCAGACTCTCAACTAGATGGAAATCTTTCTTCAGACTTTGTCAGTTCCAGCATCTCTGACTCATTTAGTTCTTGGAGTAATTGCAGAAGGGGCTTTCAACCCTACTGCTCTGACTGTAGCACTTGATAGCAGGGACATTTGGACCCTGACATTTTGACCTCCTTGTACATTGATCCTGAATCTCTGCCTTGTGAATATTCTTTGCACTAAGAAATCAATAAAAGGGGCCGGCCCCATGGCCGAATGGTTAAGTTCGCATGCTCCGCTTTGGTGGCCCAGGGTTTTACCACTTTGGATCCTGGGTGCAGACATGGTACCACTCATCAGGCCACGCTGAGGCGGCATCCCACATAGCACAACCAGAGGCACTCATAACTAGAATATACAACTATGTACTGGGGGGCTATGGAATGAAGATGAAGAAGAAGAAAAAGAAGGAGGAGGAGGAGGAGGAGGAGGGGGAGAAGGAGAAGGAGAGGAAGAAGAGGACCACGAAGAAGAAAAGATTGGCAACAGATGTTAGCTCAGGTGCCAATCTTTGGGGGGAAAAAAAAGAAATCAATAAAAGCTAAGTCTTTTAGCAGTTTCACAATGAATAATACCAGTAGAAATAATCACTCTAAATAAAACTGGCAGTAGCTAAACCTACAAATTGTGAGGAACATCTTTGGTTTGCTGAATACAAAGTTGCAGAGAAGAACAGAATGACCCCGACACAAGAAAGACCCCAACTCGTTAAGCAAAGGATGCGGGGAGACTGGTGACTCCCTCCCTACTCCCCTCAATCCTTCACGCATTAACGTATGCCCCAAAGAGGGTGACAAAGATGGGGAAGGATGGAAAACCATGTCATTCGTTATAAGGAAACATAGGAAGCCCTGGAAAGATTTTACTAGAAAATTAGAGGAAACTGGACAGGCCCACTCCTCTCAGCACTAAAAAGAAGGCCACAGTGGTAGAGCTTGGTGTGGGGATTGTAGGGGAGGAGGACATTTCCTCTCCCCAAATGTGGGTTCGTCTGGCCGGAGAACGAATTAAATTCACATGAGACAGAATAGCAAGAGAAAATTAAACAAAGCTTTATGAGGAACCATCGCCCAGGGCCTTTCTTCCCGAAGGAAGAAAGGGCACCGAAGAAGTGGGGTGCACACAGTGGTTATATACCCCCAAACACACAGTGGTTATATACCCCCAAACGGGGTGTTTCACGTGTGATTGAAATGTCCCTCCCACAATAGTCACAAGATTGCCCTGTCGGCACAGGTAGTGGTCTGCTATCTCAGAGGGCGTAGCTGGAGGCAAGTCTATTGTCTGGAGCTGGGTGGTCACAGGTGAGCACAGCAATCAGTCCCTAGCCTAAAGAAAGACACTTAATCCTTAAAGAAATGCCAGCGTTGGGAGGGGGAGGGAAGTTAGTTACAGGAGGTTACCAGACTAGCACAATAAAATGCAGATTTAAGTCCTTGCCTTTGGTATTGATTAAGAGTTTTTAGAGAGAAGGTCATCGCCTTTCTTCTTCCTGGTTCAGAGGGGGAGGCACCTTTTACAGATAGAGATTTACCTTACAAACGTAAATGTGTCCTAACAAAGGGCAAGTTCCATTCCTCCTTCCCTGTCCCAGTTTATCAAAAGCAATCAGCCTCAAATAATCCTGATGCCAAAGAGACATATCTTGGGGTGGCCAATTCCAGGTCCCCACAGGATCCTGGAGCAAAGAAGGCTAGAGCTAACAAGACAGGAGGATGAGAGAAGAAACCACTAGGAAGAGAGACCAGGGATGTGGAATTGGGACTTTTTTGGCATGCTAATACCATCTAGCATTTTTTAAATGTTTATCACATACCAGGGACTGTGCTAAGTACTTTCCATACTTTATTTCACTTAACTCTCATAAAAACATAAGAGAACAGCATTATGATTATTTTTCCCACTGAAGCCACTTGTCAGTGGTTTCTCGGGAAGCGACACAATGCAAATGAACACAAGCTTACAGAGTCTCCCGCAGTTTCACTGGCTGCCTCCACGTGATGCAGCATCCATCCCATTCACTCTGCAGAGATGGTTCCACAAACTCCCAGAAAAGACTAGAATGGAGAGTTCTTCTTCGGGCTGAGCGCCCTGACCCTCCCATTGGCTCTGTGCCAGCGGGCAAACCTCCCCTGTTCCAGCTATTCCAGGACAGAGCCCGGGCCAGGCCCCACAAACACCTGGCCTCATCCATCCCAAGAAAACAAAGCTGGGAAATCCCCCTGCCTGTCCTTGCCCTAGCAGCCACATGTCCTGCCTCTGTGGCTGGGCTGGGGACAAGCGTGAGGGCTCCAGGTACAGGACTCCCAAAGTTAAGAGTTTCAGGTCACATTGGTGAATCATTCTGCAAGCAGATGCCACAGGTCTCTTCTCAGACTGGGAAACATGCAAGGTCAGCGTCAGCAGATCTGACCCTAAAAATAGGCTCTCGGATGCCAGTCAAGGTGGCCGTGTGTGCAGCTGCCACACACCCCACGGACCAGCACCTCCTGACCCAGCCAGCTCCCAGCACGTACAGGTAAGGCCCTCGGGTGGGGAGGCTGACACCTCTTGGGTCTAGTCAAATGTCCTTTGAGGCCTGGGTGCAGAGATTAGAGGCCTCCCTTTCCACCCTGTTCTGGAACTGTGGAGAACAGCTGACATCCTTTTAGTATGAAAGGCTTCTTGTTGCCCTTTCTCTAGAGACTGCATGGAATTTTCTCCACTTCCCTCCCTCTAATTCTGAGCTTCCAGTTCAAGGACCATTTCTAGAGGATAATAGGGTGGGTTAAAGCTCATCAGTCTCTTCTGAAGCATTGGATGCTTTATATCACATATCATATTCCAGCAAGGGTCTGCATTTAGCCAGTAGAGGGGAAAAAAATTTCAGAGGGAGAAGGGGATAAAGACCCTGAAGTAACTCACACCATGTGTAGGGCAGCACAATTACAAATAAGTACTCAGCACCGCAGGGATGAGAATCCTTCCTGTGTCCTGGGTAACGCGGGGCACCAGTTGGACAGAGTGACTGTTTTCGAAGCTTTTCCCAGCCCTGGTGGGAGGATGAGGTTGGGGATGACTGCCCTGGGAAAGATGGGGATACTGGGTCACCGAGGGACAGAGCCACTCGACGAAGACAGCAGCATGTGTAGGTAGGAAGGTGGGAAGACGTCCTGTGTCTCAGACCAGGACTCTCCCATTAGACCCTGGTGCCCTTGTCCTATGGCCACAATGGCCCCTCATGGGCCTGGAACCCAAGAGCTGCTGGGTATGGGGCGGGGGTTGGGGGGAGGGGGCTCTGATTGTTCAGGAAAGCTGAACACATTCCAAGGGAAAAACCTCTCAAGTAAGAAGGGAAGGGGCATGAGGTGCACTTGTGGAGAGTCTCCTCAAGTTAAGGCCCCAGCACCTGACGGTCCCGGGTACTTGTAGCTTGTTCTGTCGCCCTGATCTCTCCCTTGTGGCCCCTCTTTATTCTCTTCAAGAGAAAATCATTTTGGTCCCACCAAATGACATTTACGAACAACACTTGAAGGGCTTCTGAGCTGAGTCCTGTACAAGGAAAGAGCCTTGGACATGGAGGGGAGTAGGAGAGGGTCTGAGGTTAGTGGGAGGTCAGTTGGCCCTGACGGCTCTTCAAGGGCAAAAGCAGATCTGTGCTGGGGGTGAGAGGGAAGGCAGTGGTCCTCCACCATCTGATAAGCTGGAGGCTCTCACTGGGGACACTTCAGTTCTGGGGTGACACTGGGCTTGGGGGGAATCTGGGTCCTATCTGAGAGTAGAATTCCTGCGGCTGTTGTCAACCACACAGGGGATGAGGAGCAGAGGAGGGGCACTGAGGCTTGCCTGTTAGCATTTCCTGCAACCCTGCTGAGGCCCAGCTGAGTCTACCTGGGGAGGGGACAAGCTGCCCTCCAGCAGCCACTGAGCCGGAGTTGGCCTTCCATAGACACTGCACAGCCTTTGTGTATTGGTAATGTTTCCTGGGGCTGACGATGTGCCAGGCACTGTTCCAAGAGCTTCTCTTATAAGCATTAACTCATTTACTCCTCACAACTACAATAACCCTATGAGGGATGTACTTCATCATGTTCATTTTCAGATGAGGAAACCGAGAAACAAGGAAGTGAAGTGGTTTGTCAACGTCGCAAAGTCCAGACAGTGGTAGAGACTAGAATCCAGTGTGCCTCAGAGTCTGATGGTATAGCCACTGTGCTCTAGTGCCCCTCAGTGGGGTGGGGGCAGCAGTGACATCTCACTCTCCTGCCTCCCTCGAGGCTCAGACTCAAACCTAGGTCCACCCCCAGGGAGGCCTGGGCCTGGAAACAGCTACTCCAGGTCTTCAGCCAGACTCCAAAGCAGATGGTGTTTGAATTTTCTCTTCTGGTGACCCTCCGTGGTTCCGGTGACCACTTCCACAGTAAATAGGGGCTTAAGTCTCATAGCAGCCTGGCACAGCCACCAGATATTAACTAGCTGGAGAGAGTCCTTTCTCCTCCTCCCAAAACCTTGCTTGCACATCATATAGGAGCAAATGAGTCCCATCACCCATAGGAGAATGTTCAGGCTTATTTATGGCCTTTCCCATCTGCCACAACTACCCTTCAGAGACCCTCAGCCCTGGCCAAACTGCTCTATTCACTCTTCCCTATTCTTGGCTCAGAACTTAGCTCCCAGCAGAGTTGGGAATTCTCCATCCACCCTTCTCCCTGCCTCCTTGTCCTCCCTTCATGAAACATTCTTTGAACCCATTTCAGTGTGCCAAGGACTTATATTATCTCATATAATCCAACAACCAGTGAGATGGATATTATCCCCATTTTATAGATAAGGAAGTTGAAGCCCAGGAACGTGAGACTCCAGGTCCTGTGAGAGCTCTTTCCATGCCTTCATACCACTTTGTGCTTCACACTGGGGAGGAAGGCATATAGAATTGAAAGGCCCAGCCCTGCCCTCAGGAGTGTATACCTTATGACCAAGAATATCGTGGCCTATCTATTGACATGGGTTGGGATGCTCAGCTGCCTGGTTTGAGTTCCAGCCATACCACTTACTAGCTTAATGTCGTTACTAACTTCTCTGACCCTCACTTTTCCAATCTGTAAAATGGGAAAAGCTATTCCCTGTCTAGAGATTTTGAGCGTAGATAATCACTGGGCACATGATAAAAGTAACCAAGTGTATAATCATTTCTCTGCATCCTGCTAGAGCCTCGATTTCTTAGTGAGCTTTTGTGGCAGGTTAAGAGCTGAGAGCTTAGCCCCCAGCCTTCCCCAGGCCCAGAGCCTCCTTTGTGCAGCATCAAGAGACAGGCTTACGGAGGAATAGTAGCCTGGATGGAATGGAGGGGAAGCAGACCCACGGTGAGGGCCGCACCCCCACGGTCTACCCCACCCCCATTTCTCCTCACACAAACAAGCCTCATGTTCTGAGGTGACGCACAGCAGGAAACAGTTCTTAAAAGATGTGGGTTAAAAGGCCATTTATTCCTGAGTTCACGAGCTGTGAAACTGCCTGCAGTGTTTCCACACATTTTCAGAGGCAGCAAAGGCCCAGCTACTTAGGAGTCAGGACCCGCAACTGGCCTGCTCAGATGTCATGGCCTCTTGTCTCCTGTGCCAGAACCTTCTCTTCCCTACTGGGGCCTAGGCTGCAGAGGTAAAGTTCATCCCAATGGCAGCCTTGTCTGAGGAGGAAGCCATGTGTGGGCCTCCAGCCTACTCACAGTTTCTGGGAGGCCTGACTCTGCCAAACCAAGATTGGAGAAATCAATTACGAGTCCATAAATTACCACACAAAGCACTTTAAAACCATTCGAAGAGTTAATCAAACAAGTTAATGACATCAACACCATAGTAGAAGGAATATTAAATTACCTCTTTAAATGACGCCTTTTCTGTTTTTTTAATAAAAGGATTTTATATTAATTCACTTAATTGCCTCCTGTTAATGTACTTGCCAGAATCCAAACAAAAAAAAAAATCTGTTAAACTTGGATTATGTCTGATACATTAAGAATTAAATTATAGACAACAGAAAATTCCTGGGTTTTCACATCTAGGTTTTAATTTTTTAAAGATCCACAGCCTTTATTTCCTAGTTGTGAACATTTTTGCAGATTTAAGATGCATAAAGACAAGCACTGACCTGTAGTAAATTTAAAATATGTATATCTATATACATACACTGCTGCCAAATTCCGCCCCTCTACATACCCCAGCAGTAGGCATTACTGTGCTAATAGAGTAATTTGCCCAACCACAACAACATTTTTAGTCTCCTTTTATTTCAAGGCACATTCCAAGCCCAACTTGGGTGGTGTCCTGGAAGAAATGTGGTGTGCATGCATTTAAACACAGACGAACTTCCCCCAATTATCCCAATGCATTAGGACATAAATATGCGACATACACATATGCACAGATATAGAATAACTTCAAAGGGAGAGGCAAATTTTTTAAAAGATTAGATTTTAAAAGACTTCTAGAAGGAAGAGATCTTTCTGGCCCAGCCCATCCCCGGTGCTTAACAGACAGATGGGTGAGTAAAGCTGGGTGGAGGGAGGGGACAGGGCCAGGTCTAACTTCTGAGGTGAAGTCAAGGAGGAAGTTATGCCACTTCCCATCCCCACTGATGACCCACTAGAGCACCCCAACATGAGGTGATTTAGATTAAGCCAGGAGCAGGCTAAGGCAAGTCATGGGGGACGGGGCAGGGTGCTGCCCTCTCTATCTGACATCTGTCTCTAGTCAGAAGGCAAGGAAGTTTCCCTCAGAGGTAGATTTACCCCAAAGCTTCAGAACCCCACACTTGCACTGGCCTCTTCCAAGGCCCTGAACCTATTTGGTTTTCTTAAAGAAATTGTACAAGCTTCAGGACCCACAAAACTTGATTCCCCTCTGGTTTCCCGGGAAGCACTGAGGGACTAGAATGAACTTCTGACATGACCTAGGCCTGGCTCAGCCACCAGAGGCCTCAAGGAGAGCACAGCCCCATCTTTGTGGAGCTCACACTTACTAGGAGGATACTCAGTGCCATGCGAGACGTAAGGAACACTTGGTCAGGCCTTGGCCTAAAGCCCACCTTCCTGCACCTCAGCCCATAGTTTTAGCGTGAGCATCTATTACATCCAGAACAATTCTAAAATAGAACTTACACAGGCTTTTTTTTCCCCCTCCATATACTCAAGTAATACATGTTCATCACAGAAACTTTAGAAAAGATGATTCCTTAAAAAGAAGAAAAATCACACATAATTCTATCATACTAAAATAAGCATATAGCCAGTGTTAATATTTTGGTGAAATGTATTTTTGTATAAGAACAGAATCACACTGTACATGCTGCTTCATAAATTTCTGGTTTCTTCTCTCCACTGGCACAAGCCTCTTTCCCTTTAATTCCTCAGAACCCCCACAAAGGCGGCTGTCTGTTGTGTCTAACAGTTTCACCAAAGGCGTAGGGTGACAAAGAGGGGGCTGACATAGCTATAGGGCACCACAAAGTTGAACATTGGGAATCCTTGTTCTCAGCAGTTCT